TTGTCCCTGCTACAAATTTTACAATATGCTGCCGGAATTTAAAAAAAAATGTAAGCAATTTGTTCATGTGATTCTACTTCTGACATCGCTACACTTTCTCTGAGATTGTTTCTCAAGTAGATTTCAAGGTTCTGCTTTTAGTTTGCAAGGCTCCAAGTTGATTTTACCCAACTGAGGTCCCTGATAATGCACTACATTCACAAGATGTGGGACTATTATATATATTCCGTGACATAACTTGACCGTATCCTCCTAAACTTGGAAAAGCCTTTCTGCCTTCGGTAAAATTTTCAAATTTCGTATCTGTTTTTAATCAAGCCTAAAGCAATTTGCTTAAATTTATTTTATAACATTAACTTTGGCATCAATGAGCTGATTATGTAGCTGGTTTTAGTTTTTGTAACTACTGGGTGTGCAACTATTTTCCCCAGTCACGGTGAGATTAATTTTCACAATTCAAATTGTTTATATTTTTTTACTTTGTGGGGCATTCAGTATTCTAGTGGCTGTAGAAGGTATGAGAGGAAAAAATAGTCAAAAGTAATCATTACGCTAGCCTGCTTTGGAGAGTGAGCATTATGTTTTAAATAGAACCCCCGTAGGTCAAAGCAGTGAATTAAAAGACCCTCGGGAGATTGAAGTGGAAAATAAAGAGACCCCCCAAGCAGGATACATTTTAGCAAAAAAAAAACCTATCATTACTCACGCGTTCACCATTTGCCATAAATATTCTGTCAGTTCAACGCGTCACAGTGATTTCGTGTGATTTGATAAGGTCTCTACACTCGGGCAACATCTGCTCCGTTTCACATCACTCTGATCCATGGCGCTGGCAAATCTAATTTACCGACTGTTCACAAAGCTTGCAGTAGGTGCCTGACATCTTTAAAGGGGCCCGTGGAATCAACCACAAAAAAAAGTAGTCAATTACACAATTAGCTGACTAATTGTCCCAGTTGTAATCGCTACAAGCCCCTTATCTATGCGTTACAGTTGTATTGTTAAGCACTAAAGAGGTTTTTGCTGAAAAATCAAGATCAAGATGTCAGAAAGGTCACGCCATTTAAAACACCACAGCCCGCGAACGCTTTCCACCATCGGTCAGATCCTGCAGCTGCTGCAGATGAGATAAGAGTCATCCAAAATCTGCAATAACAGTATCCCACAATCTGCTCTTAGGTCTTTCCCCTTGGTCACCAGGCTTCTGGAGGCTATTGAAAAGCGCTATATGAATGTGATGTTGTGCCACTGTACCCAGATGCAAAAGCCTTGGCAGATGAGAAGGACGAATCCTCTCGGAGCCAGCGTGCTCAGATGGAGCAGCAGAGGGCAATCGATGCTCAGAAGCTTCGCCAGGTGCTGGAGGAACCAGTGCTACCAGTCATTGTCGATAGAGACAAACTGAAGGTGTGTATCGACCGTCCCAGTTTCCTGGTTACGTCTCACAATGTTTTTCTGCAATGAACCAGATAGTTGCGCACCCACCAGCTAATATACTGCAGGTATGAACTAAACATTTTGACCTTTCAATTGTGAAACAAAAGCACTTGTGAATGGCATTGGCCAGGTGGTTCAAATGAATAATGCCACGTCACAGAACATTTAGCCGTCAAGCCCCAGTTCATATCCGGGTTTCAGCCACCCTTGTTTAAATTGTGCTCTCAAGTATAGTGAGTTGGGTCACAAATAACTGAACAAAAAGAGAATTAGTTTTTTCCCATAATTTAACTTATTCCAGCTCTGTGATTTAAAAAAATTGTGATTTTATTGAAATGTGATGAACACACGTTGTAGGTTTTAATACTTTAAGCTTAATAAGGTTAGCTTTGAATTACGGCTTTTGTGATGGCAAGTGGGCATATGGCTCCATTGGAGCCATGCTGTTCATTGTGATGCTGTCTTACATCGGCAGGCGAGTGGAAAACTGCATATAAAACCAACGTTGTAGAAGACAGATACACGGTGTCATACGGAGAGATATATTTAATAAACAGCATTAGATTTAGCCGAGTGTGAGTGTAAGGTTTAGACTTCCTAAGATACATTGTGCGAGTAGCAACAGAGAGACGGGTAATGACGTATTTTCAGAATAATATTGAAAATGGCCATGCATTGTAAAAGCACTGTTGTATTTGGAGATATCCAAGTGAATAAGGGGTCAGAACACACTGAGCCTTTACCGCCGAGATTCTGGATTTAATTCCAGACGGCCGCCTGTAATTAAGCCAGGTTTTCAAGTGCGGCAAATTGACAGTCTGCCTGGTCACAAATACAACATACTTACATTAGTTAAATTTTTTTTCTCCTAAAATTTGACTCATTGCTGGTCCTGGGAATGAAACTGTTGCTTTTTTTTTGTCATGCGACAAACATCGTATGCATGCCATATTAAAACTGTGTGCTTTGTGTGAATAAAACGGCAATTGCAATAACCCGACAAGGTGGTCCAATATTAGCTGTAAGATTTCCGAATGGAAATTTCTCAACGTCTTGTAACGCAATATTGCTAAAGCGCAATCTTGATTATTGCGATAAAAAGAAATGGTTAAGAGAATGCTCATTAAAGCATAAATCATTCTTGTGAATAATTGAGAAGTCTTTGAGGCTCTACTGGATAAAGCACTGAACTGGTTATGGTATTAATTCGTATGTAATTCATGACTTCCTGAAACTCCATGCCACGTTAAAGAAAGGCACTAATTACCGGGTGCAATCCGTGTTTTTATGCTTGTGTGTGTGGTGGTGCGTTTGCTGGCAGGCCCTGCTGGACCGTGTGGTGACAGGGACCGACGCCTCTACGGTGGAGGAGCTTGAGAGACTGTACGCCATACTGAGCCAGTGCGTTTACAACCACCGCAGAGAGAACAACAAGATGGCACTTGTGCAGGTGAGCCTGCCAAACGTACGCTCGCTGGGCACGCGATGGAGTCGCCAAATGTCACAATTTTTGGCAACACCATTTTGTCGTCTCGTAGTTTCTGCTTCATTTGTATGGTTACGTTTGCTCCATTCGGCTAAATGTTGCATCAGCCATTAACTGACATTATAAATTGCGTAATATGATTCTCACGCGTGATTCCACATATGCGACGAGAACATGTGACTCAAATGCATCGTTATATGATTTATGCACATCACGTTCAAAAGGCTTACATTTAATTTCTTTAATTGCAATAACAGTAAATGATTAGGGTTATTTTTCTGGTTTTCTTTTTTCAATAGTGTTTGCCATTCCATTTTACCCCTGGACTTTGTAATTTCTCTCATTGTGTTTCCTCTAAGTCGCATTGTTAAAGATTTACGCTTTAGCATTCATTAGGTTATCTGGTTAAAATAAGTTAATAGTCTGGAAAGCATTCCTAATGTTTTATTTCAATTTAAACTGATATAAATCAGGCTCTGCATCTCTCTCCATGTTTCTTCATTTTCACGTGGAGATGTTGTACGAACACAAATTATATTTCACCGTGTGCACCGTTGAGTGGAATTTTAATTTGCCTTTCATTTTCCTCCCACTCTGCGCGCCTCTTTTGCTTCTCTTCCTTCTGTGGTCCTTGTGTCGATCAGGAAATGGAAAGTGAGGTGGAAACATTCCTTTCGGGAAGAGCACATGGGACGGCACTTGAGACCGAGCGGTGGACGGATGCCTTTCGTGCACGGGTTCACAAGTAGGGTGCTGTATGTACAGGGTTATGCATGAGAGCGCTCTCTTGGCTTGCGAGCAGCCCATAATTATCACCATCTTCTCAAAGATTGGGCAAAGAGGTTCCCTCGGTTCATCTCATCCCATCTCACCTGACTTTTTACACCACAGCGAGAAAGCATTTGAAATTTTAAACGTGTTTGTCAGCCGGCGTCGCTGTTGTGTGTTTCAGGCTTGGGCAGCCACCCGAATTTAAACCCAATTTCTCAAGCATAATGCATTCATCGTCTTGACCTGGTCACCAATGACCGCACAAAATTGGCAATATGATAAATTGGTGTGGGTTGACATTTGTGTGCGATGGCAGGCGTTGTGGTGCACCACTATGCAGGCGTAACATCTAGCGTTGGGTAAATGAGGCATCTCAAAGAGACTTTTGAGGTAGCTTTGTGATATAATTTCCAAAACCGGTCTGTGGTAATCCACTGGCTATAGGTGGGTGTTCCTGCAGGACTGTGTTCGCCCAGTGCCTTGACTATATTAGCATAGTTTAAATATAATTGGTTAAACAGTATTAAATATACATGTGGATAAACTAAATCTAACTACCCATCTGCATTCAACATGAGTGTACAGGTTGGTGTTCCATCTACCTTTTCCCTTTTGCCCTTCTCCCATGGTGCACTTTGAATGTTTATGGTGATAATTATGCCCTGTACAAGCACGCTTGAGTGTACTGCTGTAATAAAATATATAACGGGTATTGCGTTGATCTTGACCCCAAACTAAGATCTCTTGGTGACTGTTTCTTGAAATTTATACGATAAAAACAAGAAAAAAAACATTAAAAAAGGATAAATTAAAATAAAAAGTTTTCAAAAGTCCAGTGTATTTATGGCAAATTCTAAAAAAAATATATAAAAATGTTAAACATCTTTCCAGTTTTTTTTTATTGATGGTGCTGCCGTCAACATCTCAGGTAACCTTGCACAGCTGGCAAGCTTTGCCATTCAGGTCATGAGCCTTTAAATGGAAATACTTGTCTCCAACAGTGAAATGTCACCAAATAAAAACTACTGTGGTGCTTAAAAAAAATGTTAAAGGATATGAATTAAAAAAAAATCAATAATTACAAGCCATTGCTTTTGCAAGGGCCTTTTGCCATCAACATGCGAAACGAAGTGAGGATTTTGAGGCGGGTTTCATCTGATTATCCTTGTTGAGTGTTTACAGATTTAACCGGGAAGCCTCATACTTTTCACTCTTCTTCAGCGTCATCTCCCATCGTACGTCTTGGTTTTGCGTGGAATAACCTCTGTTGGTGAGAAGGGTGATGCTGCTACTACTTTGCCATCAGTTTTTTTTGTCCGTGGTGCTGTGTTGACTTTCTATTTTTTGTTCTAAGTCTCATTTATGGACAGTTTGCTTTTTGACAAACATTCAGCACCATCTTGTGTGGAAAAAATACGAATATGTTCCTGGGGGAAAAAAAGTTTAACTATATATAAAATTGATTTACCAGGGGTGTAACAATTGATTGGTATTGCTTCTTAAGTGCACAATGCATGCATTGTATCGCATGAGAATCAATGTTTTTCAATCCATATGTTGTAAATAATGCGTTTTACAGGACCCCTGCAAGTCACTAGTGACAGCTGCATTCACCACAATGTTTCAAACAAAAACAAAAGTAATCGATCCTAAGAGTTGAATCATAAAAATAACCTGAATCGTGACAATACATCAAATCGCCAAGGGGGGTGGGTATGTTGTTAGTGAGTGACCAATATGCCCTATAGAGCTGGAACTGGAAGCAGTAGTGTTATAAGAAGTTTGATTCAGATATGCTGCCGTGTAATTTACATGGAAATCCTGCGAGCAAGCTCATTTCAACCCGTTGTGTTGTCTCTGTGCGGCGAGATAGGGAAGGGATTGAATCATGGGCTGCTCGGATTGAATCGGTGGCTGCTGAAAAGCACGACTATGGTGCTCACAATTGAGACTGGTTAAGATGACTTAAATTGAGAAATGTGCATTTGCGTTGGTTGGACTTGTCTGCCTCAGTTTCACAAGCTCAGGGCTGCCTTTATTTAATTTAAATTTCCAATGTCATAAAGGATTTATCAATTGCTTATTCCTTGAGGCAGTTTCGACTGCATCTGAAACACTGTTTTAATTTAATTACGAGAACATATATTCCCCCCGGCACTCAACCTGTCAGTCAATTTGTCAAACGTGTCTTTGTGTTGTGCTTTGTATTTGCTGCAGATGTCTTTGTAAAAAAAAAAGCAGCTGGTGTTGTTTGCATGTGTTCGCTTACTTTATGCCTTTTTTACGTCAACTAATAAAGAAAAGTTAAAGACTAACGCGCTCGTGGTAAAATAACTCTCGTAATGATTTTTGCCTTGGGGTCTCATGCCATGGAACATGGATAGGCAACCCAATGCCTGCAGGTCCAAGCTCTCTTCATGGCATTAAACTTTTTGGCAAATATAGCAAAAGTGGTGACTGCAGTGGAAGTGATGGCCCATTAAATTGGTGGTGGGGGACGCTGTCCATGGTGTAGATTGTAAGTGATTTAATTTACTGATAGTCCAAACGACATGTACTCGAGATGTAGTTAAAAAAACAATTCTAGCATTCCTAAACAAGTGTCACGTCACTGGTTTGGTTTAGACATTTACAAAGCAGTGTCCTTGGTTACATTATCGGTAACTCCAGTAATAATCCGTAAGACTTGCCTATGGGTGCACACCGATCTGGCAAGTGTGGTCACCATACACAATTTTTGTATTCATGTTCACGCGAGGAAGATCTCCTATGATTAAATAAAACCTTACACGACAATATATTGGTCTCCCTTCCATCCAACCAGCTGTCATTATTCATGATGGCTGCGTATCCTGACTGCTGTTGACTTACTGTGCACATCTCATTTCAGATATCTGATGAGTGCTCAAACACAATTTAGGTTCCTTGTACATTGATTGAAACTTATGGGGTTATTTATTTGCTTGTATCACCTATATTTTTTATAGTTTTTTTCCTCATTGCAATATAAGACCCTTTCAAGGTGACATTATTTTTAGTTTAAAATTCATCCAAGGGCAGCTTTAATATAAAAAGAAAATATAAAATAATCGAATCAGCATTGCATTTTGCCTGGAATTTTATATTGTACAGTAGATTTCGATTTTCCATGAGGATCCTTTGCATGCTTGATATTCTGACAGGTTGAAGCCGATTTTACTTATTTAGAATGCTGCTCATTGATAGGGCAAGTGTGCACTGTATGAACATTACGTAGCCATATTTGCTGGTGTATATTTGGTTTTTTTTCGTCACGTTTCTTTTTGTAAGTACAGTATTTCAAAAACCTCTGCTGTATAAACGCTACCTGGCCGACAACTTGAAAGGGTTTTGCATTTTTTTGTTGTTCCCCGTTATGCATCAATGGATTTTATGTAATTCAATTTCTGTCGTGCTTTGAAATTATTAGAATGGGGAAGGTGGAAGGCAGTTTTTTTTAACGCTTCAGGAGTAAAATTGTCCATTTTGATAAACCTAGGTGTGTGTTTGATCTTTTAGCATTTATGGGGTGAACAGTATTTGTGGAAAAACATTGCATTCGTTTCTTCTGGGTTTATGTAACAAACATGTTCCTTTCTCCTATGTATACACACGTGCACAAAGAGAAACTTTGGATCTTGTTGAAATAAATAAAAGAAAGCATTTTCTCAAGAATATGTCGGAATTATTTCGAAGGATGTCAGAATAATGGAGCACACTGAACATGTTTGCTTTTCATTGGTGGAATCGTGCAAACAACTTTTGAGGCAATGTTTAATCCTTGCTGGTATGTACAGTTTGCACATGTCAACATTCATAGTTGATGTGCATGTCACAAAGCGTTAAGCACATTGTATTGCTGTTTGTATATTGCTGTTACAAGCTTTTACAACAGCCATTAACACAGTACTACAAAATAAACATATCTTGTATAGTATTTATAGAAAACATTTAACAAAACTACAAACATCCCTTTTCACAAGATATTAAAAATGTACACACAATCTGATCGTGAATTAGCGGTAGAAGATTCTTTAAAAAAAGTAAGTGTTTCTCTTTACTGTGTACCAGTCACAAAACGGTTCCATATTGTCACATCCCACTGATATACACAGAAACGTTAACTTTCCATTACTAGTAATTATGTAGCGAAAGAGCACAAAGGCATATTTAAATATCGCAAAAGGCGTAGTTTCGGTCATTGCAGTAGCTAAAGGAAACTGCAGAATACATTACACAATAATTAGTGCGCTTAGGTTAAGTCAATCAACCCCACTCCTCACAAACTCCTACAGATGAACCAATAGAGTAGCACGACATCGCTTCGCGTAAAAGTGAAATCGACAGCGCAACATTGCTGCTGCTGCTCGGGAGCGTAAAGCAAGTGCTGACACAGCTTGCAGTCACTGGCAACGAAAGAAGGGCACGGGGTGCCAGCGGACTCGTGCCCATAGGACAAGACCCAATTTTACACCACATCACCAATCTTTTCAGCCCTGCGCGGACACGACAATAATGTCCAGTGATGGGAGGAATTTGAAATGTTTTATTTTAATTGCCGCAGGATTTGTCCGTCCCGCTGTAGAGTTTGTGCACGCGTTTTTTTTCTGTGCGTTTGTGTTGGCGAGACGTGCACAGCGGATGTCTGGCCTCTTAACGATTCGCGCCGAGATTGCGGAGTGCACGGGGGCCATGGCTCGGGCTCGGATTGAGTGGATGTGACATTCATTTTCCTAGCGGGATAATCTCGACACCAATACAATGACGTGCGGGGATGACAAGTTCAAGGCTTGACTCGTCGGAGCACATCTTGCGAGTGCAAGGCCGTTAATACTCGCCCGATATCGAGTTCTATTTTCAAACACGGCGCATTGTCTGCTTTCATTCCTTTGATATTGCATTCCTCTGATGTCTTTTGCCACTGTGCGCAGGCCCACGGTGAAACCGTGCCGTGTTGTTTTGATGCGGAAGGGGCACTGGGACGTGTGGAAAGCTCCTGCCGTGTGCGGAACGCTTCCGCGTTGCTCGACGCACTCGCCGTGCGCGCCTGTGCGACGTGCGGACTCTTTCGTTAGTCCTGATCAACTAGGGTTTCCCAGTATGAAGCTACTGGCACGATGTATGCCTCGGCTTCGGCGTTCATTGGCCATACGTTGCACGCGCTCGTTTCGGTGTGCGTTGCAGCATCGAAGCAAATTCGTCCTCAAAAGGCGTTGCATGCACGCGATTGATTTTTTTCGGGATGCACCAAGCTACATAGCCATTCCAAATTGTGCTGTGTATGTGTGCTGTATAGATATAAGTGTGGGTGTGTATGCATCGTAGATGTATGAAAATAGATTTGGTGAAACTAGATCTCGTTAAAAATAATAACATTCTGTATATCGGCTTAACAAGTAAAACCAGCTCTACACGGAGTCCTTTGTATTACGGAATACGCTGACAAGACCACTGTGCCGAGGTAAAGACGTGGTGCTGCTGAATTTGGGAACACATGCCCTGTCTCGCTCTGCCCCTGCATCTTGGAGTAACAGATGTCAGAGCCTTAGGTTTAGTATTGACATTCCAGCGTTGAAGCGCATGCTCTATAATTGTGTCAAAAGGGAGACAGCCACAGATGTAGCCTTGTTCCACTCCAGACTCTGTAGATAACGCGTGTGACTGAACCACCATTGCACGTTACACACGGCCGCACGTCTATCGTAAAGATGGTACGAATAATTATTATTAAAGTTTATTTTGCTCTCTCCATATGTATATACTGTATATAGATATATAGCGTGTGTATAAATATAGTGTTTAAAAAAAAGTTCCACTTTCATCTCAACGTTGTCCATCTCGCCCAACGTTCTTATTTTGCCGTTAAGCCGCAGTCTTCCCCCCCCCACGCTGCTCCGGTTGTGCAAAACTGCACGCGGGCGTTGTAAGCCGCTAGCGCCCTCCTCACCGCCACCCCGGGCCTGCCAGCGGCGACTGTGCAAGCGGCAGGCCTAGGTGCTGGAGTGCAGCAGGTTCTTCTTGATGACGGCGCAGCCGTGTCGGTACACGGGGCCTGGCAGGTTGGGAACAACGGTCCAGCTGTTGGTCTGCGGGTCCAGCACCTCCATGCTGGCGAGGCCGGGGCCGTCGGTGCTCGCCGCTCCTCCCAGCACGTAGATCTTGCCGTCGAGGACGACGGCGCTGTTCCGACGAGAGGGGGGGGGGGGGGAGCGAGTGAGAAGCAAGGGGCGCGTGTAGGGCACGCTGCCGATATCCTGCTGCTGCTGCGTGACGGCGGCCGCGTGGTGCGGGAGACGAGAGGGCCGAGCCAGCACTGCTGAGATCTCATCTTAATCAGAGGTGCTTGACAATTATGACGGTGTACGTACGATGATGGTGGTCAAAGTAAAGACTGGGGTTTCTATTAAAAGTGGACAGGTGGGAGCGGTCAAGGAGGAATTGGGGGTCGGCCTGGCCGCAGATTTTCGTTTCGTGACCTCGCACAAAGCAAAAAAAATGTTACTTGTGCGTTCTTAATTCGGCAAAGATTACAGCTCCAAGAACGCTGATGTGTAGCTCTGCACAGATAGATTCAAGAATCAAATTGCTGTGCTGCTATCTCCTGGTCACTTTGCAGCCAATGCCAACAATACCTGGGTATCGGGCAGTGTTCCTTCTTAAGCGCTCATCACGCTGAACCCTGCTTAACTTCCAGGATCTGACGTGATTTGGTGGTCTAATTCTATTTTTTGCATTACGATGTTTGCATCGTTTTCTCAATGCCTTGGCACTTGCCCCAAAAGGGCTCCCATACAAAAGAAGCCAACCAAGGTCGTTGTCTTAATGGGCTCTTCACTGAGCAAAGAAAGGACAAGTTGTGATTCGCCAGACCACTCGGTGCTGTTAGCAACGATGCTCAGGGGGGGTCATACAACGCCTCGCTCTTGAACTGAACGAGGAAGGTGAAATGGAGCTTGTTTGTGCCTTGATGCACACAAGGCGGCCTGGGAAGAGCGGACTCATCGACGGACAAATTAATCCCTTTTCCTCTAAATCGCTACTATTATATGATTCATACTGCTGCCCTAAAGATAATCTCCGCTCCCTCTGTCTAGCATAGAACAGAAATATACTCCTCTTGCCCCTCTCTAACAAAAAAAAGCTGATCTTGTACAATTTCTGGAGATGTCCTATTTTATATTCTTTTACAAATCCAGGTTGTCTTGTCTGCCACAGCTGTGGCTGACCATGGCCCCTCATTAAGGAACAATTCAACTCCGCTTGGGGTTTTGCTTTAAGCTGCCGTGTGCAGCCGATGATTTGTATAAAGTTATGGAATTTTCGAATGCGACGTGGTTTTGGTTTGGCCAAGGCGTTAGGTTAGGGATCAGTCCCCTTTCTAAGGCCGGTTGCTGCAGGACAAAAGACAAAGATCCCCCGTGTAGCCTTAACAGACTGTTGGGGGCAAGTGCTGTTAGCGTGCACCTATGAAGGCGAGAACGACACACGATGGGGTGGGTGACCAGCACCACACCCGACCGCCTTTATTTCCCGAGTGCCGATGTTTTTACACACCACACTAGGTACACATTTGAGGCTGAGGCGACCTACGGGAGGCCCAGGACCGGCTAGGAAAATATAATCGTCACTGGTGTCAGCCGCCAGCGGGATTCGAACTTAGGTCGCCGGGTTCGTAGTGCAGCGTGCTAACCGCTACACTACCGCTCCCCACTGCAGGACACACACGCTTACACATGCGTGCGCTGTGGACACACCTACTGAACTGGCGGTTGAAGTGCATGTTGGGTCCAGACTTGATGTTCTCCTTCTCCGGGTCGTAGATGGTGGTGGCGCGGCTGAAGGCGCCGCCGAGAATGTAAATCAGCTTGTTGAGCAGAATGGCCGGGGCGTACTTATTGTCTGCAGGGGGTGGGGGCAGGGGGAAATAAAAACCACCGAGAAACGTTTAGCCTTTCCCAAACAGCCCCGTATTCCATTTGGCTCGCTAATTGGCACATTCATCTCACGGCGCCGATCGTGACGGCGATAACAGCTGGCGTTCAATTAGCGCGCGGTAAATGTGGTTAAACGCGTTGACATAGGCGGTTTGGTTGGTTTTTTTTGGGGGGGGCGGTTTGTGTGAACCTACAGCACGAGCGAGGAGGCAGCATTGATGCGCATAAATGCCGCGTGTGAACACACGCGCACGTGTGTGTAAATAGGCGCGTGTAAACGTGTCCCAAATTTTAACGTCATTTAACGAAAGCTCGCCGAGCGGGAAATGTGACGTGACACCACCGGCCATGCGGAGCAACGATGGTTGCCACTAATGCGAATAATGAAAACGCTTCGGTTCCGCTGCCCCTCATCAGCGATTGCTGTGGATTTGTTGATCTTCATGGGTTAGAATTTTTCGGCACCCAAGTCAGGAATCAAACCCGGGGGGGCCCTTCTTGCCGTGAGGCGCAAGCATTCCCACTGCGCCACTGTGCCACTGCCCTCCTTCCCTGCCGCCCTGCCACCCTCCCCGCCGCCCTACCGATCATGGGCGTCTCGATGAAGCTCCAGGTGTTGGTGCGCGGCAGGTAGGACTGCATGACGTTGGCCGAGCGGCCGGTGTCGCCGGCGCCGCCGAACACGTACACCTTGTCGCCGTGGACGGCGGCGGCGGCCGAGTGGACGGCCTTGGGCAGCGGGGAGAGAACCTCGCAGCGGTTCGTCTGAGCGTCGTACCTGCCCGCGAGAGAGCGCCGGTCCCTCGGTGAGACACGGCGTAGGGGTGGGGGGAGGAACTCTCGGCCGATCGACATCGCACCTCGTCGGTGGGCCACAGCAGGCAATGGGCACCGCCCGACAGTGCATACGTACGTCCGCACGTTGAACTTCTTTTGCACCATTCGTAGCCAACCGTGCTAATCGGGAGGTGCGGCCGGGGAAAGGACAACAAACTGAGCACAGAAATCGGTTTTAAATACATTCGTTTGTCAATCTAGATGATAATTGAAAAGTGCATGTGGACATTTATTCCTGATATCGGAAGGAAGAGCGTTCCAGACGGCCGCAGGAGCGCTAGCTAGCCAGCAAAGAGCGGCTGTGAGGATGAGCGGAGTTCCGGCGATGGTTTCACGGCACAGCAGTGGCGGGAGCAGTGGCCGCTTCGCCGTCGCCGCGCGCGACGACGTTCCGTCCCACCTCTCGCAGTGGCCCAGGTTTCCCGCGGCGCCCAGGCCGCCCAGCGAGTAGATTTTCCCGTCGGCGACGAGGCTGCTGTGGCGGCAGCGCGGCACGGCGGTGCGCGCCACCAGGCCCCACGCGTCCGTGCCGGACGAGTAGCACCAGATGTCGGGCAGGATGACGCCTCCTTCCACGCCGCCTGCAGTGACACACGGTGGGGGTGGGAGGGTGGCAGAGTCCATGAGCCCATGAGCGCATTACCAGGTATCTAAAATAAAGACTATGAAGATTTGTATTTTTTATTTTACCAGGTAAGGCCCACGGAGCTATGTAAGCTTCTTTTTCAGAAGCGACTCGGCCAGCACGAATGATAGCTCAGAGAAGTGGCTCATCGTGTGGACATTTATAGCAGCCAAATATATTTTAAACGTGTGTTGAAACCGGAGAATCCGGAGAAAAATCCGCACGATCACGGAGAAAGAGAACACGCAAACTCCAAATTATACAGGAGGCGTCAGGGTCAGGACCGAACCCACGACCTCCTGCATACCAGGCGAGGTAGTTCAAATCCCCTAGCCACCGTGGCGCTCCACTCACTTGTCGGTACTAGCTGCGGTGGTGTAGCTTTAGAGCTTTGGGGGTTTGCGATTTCGCTACTTGGCCAACAACAGTGATTTGTGTGATAACCGTTTATCAAGTGATTTTATCAAGTGATTTTATCGGTCGTAGAAATTCATCGATACCACGAATGCTTTGGAACCTTAAGTGGCACCAATTTTGACTCTGGCTCACGGATTGAGAAGCGAGTGTGTACTCTTTCCCGCGGACGTGAATTGAGTGGCAAGTATGGAAGGCTAAATTGTGAATCCAGCTGCTGGATTCAGGGGACAGCGTGTGTGAATCCCACTCGTGCCCTCGGAGAATCTGGGCATGAGTTCATATCGAGGCTCACAGACGACTCGCAGAGAGACCCATAGACTCGCACAGACCTACAGACTCACACAGTGATCCACAGACTTGTGGACCCACACAGACTCACACAGACCCACAGACTCTCAGAGACCTGTAAACTCACGCAAAATGACATTTAAAAAATGTTTCCTGATCACGAGCGTTTTCAAGAGACATATGAATGCAGCTATTGAGTAACATAAAAAAAACCCTTCAATAATTGTAAAGTATTATTGGTTCTTTTGCTAAAGTCACGTAGAAAGGGAAATAATAAAATAATACAAATAAAACATAACAAAATAAAATTCTCACGACGTTTCGGCCACAATGCAAGCAGCCGTCCTCAGGTGAAGAACAGAGCTGTCGGAAAGACAGCGTCCTAATGAACACTGCAGAATTGCCGTATCGTTCGCCTTCAGCAGACATCAAATGACGTCGCAACGCAGTTCATGCGAGAGCCGGGGGCTTATGGGACACCGGGGTCCCGCCATAAGGTTCAACTAACCACCGTACGTTAAGGGAGGTTCGTTTAGTTTTTTTTCTTTTGCAGCGTTCAAAGCTCACCTCGGCGCCACGGTTAAAACACCACGCAGATGCTCGCAGGGGTAGCACATTTTTTTTTACAAATATTAAAGAACGAAAGAAAAAATACCGAGCAAATTAAACGCGCGGGCATGCGCACTTGAACACGAGGACGCCAGATGCCCATTAGTTCTTGTCAGCGCCCGGGCTTTGGACGTCGCTTTCGCTAAATTCCAGAACAATTTCGCTGCTGTGCCAGTGCGCGCCGTCGCCCACACCTGCCGGAGATGGAACGGAGAGATCGTGCGCACGTCTGCGGGGACGTCTCAAGTGAAAATTAAACCAAACTTGCACGAAGACGGCAGTTTTTTGTCGTTGTAAAAGTTCCAAGGCTCTGCCAAACATTTTGCTCTCTCTCTGTCTGTGCCTGTCTGTCTCTCTGTGCCTGTCTGTCTCTCTGTGCCTGTCTGTCTGTCTGTGCCTGTCTGTCTCTCTGTGCCTGGCTGTCTCTCTGTGCCTGGCTGTCTCTCTGTGTGCTGGCTGAGCGTGTCGGCCCGAGAGCGGTGGCTCAGCGGACGGCGCCACTGCGCTTACGAACCCGATGACCCGAGTTCCGGTTTCACGGCTCACGGCCACAAACACACAAACACCAGCAGAGATTGTCTACACCGGTCCTGGGCCTCCCCTAGGTCGACTCGGCCTCAAACGTGTATCCGGTTCGGTGTGTGAACATCGGCAATCGGGAGACAAGAGGAGGCCGAGCGTGGTGCCGGCCACAACCCCCGTGCGTCTGCCTGCCCTGGGGATTCCACAGACAGATAGATGATGACAGCCTCCGGCTGTCGGGCTACAAACAGCAGACGCAGATGGGGATGGGGGGCTGGCAAACGATGGACGGAGGCGGAGGAGCGGCGGTGCCACGGGGAGGTGTCAGCTCTCTCTCGTTGTGAAGCCTCGGATTAATGACCTCATTTTTGGGGTGGGGATTAGTCGGAGGCAGGTGGGGCGGGGGGGGGGGGGTGGGGGCAGCAGGGGGTAAAGCCTGGGCCCTTGAAGTGCAGAGGGAATTGATCGTGCGCGTGTGCTGCCGCGCCTGCCGCTTCCTTAAGGTGAATTGGGAAATCTATTAATCACAGGCTGCCCGCGAGCTCTCTCCCGCCTGCAGCTTCAGGGCCTAATGATAATGTGTCAGTGGCCAAGTTACACCGCGAGGTCGGCGCGCTGCCCGCCCAAGGACGGCTAAAGGGAGGGTCAAAGCTTTCCTGCAGTCCGACCGTCTCGCGACGACAAAAATCTGGACCGGCGCGGGCACGCAAACAGAGACCCGAGCGTTTTTTTCCCGAGCGTCCGAATGATCAGAAATCTCGGCTCTGGAGGTGTATCGGCCCGGCTTGCTTATCCAACCATCGCCGTCATCGGCTGCGATCAATCCAGCGGTGTTTGCGCAAACTATGCGCGAGCACGTGCCGATGGCGCCAACCCGTTCGGCGCGTGTGCGACGTCAGCGGCACCGCTCTAAAATAAGCTCTTTAGATTTTTATTTTTATTTCGCCAGGTAAGGCCCCACTAAAGCTATGCAGCTCTTTTCCAGAAGCGACCTGGACATCACAAATGACAGCTCAACGAAGTGGCTTATCACGTGGACATTTACGGCAGCCGAATAACTCGAAACCAGGCGTCGGCAAACTTGCGGCACCAGAGCCGCGCGCGGCTCTTGAAGTGACGCGCTTCGCGATGTCATTTATCACGGACCGCCGTCTCGTTTCCACCACGTGCGTTGCGGCTCTTGAAATATTGAGGTGGGGGGGGGGTGGTTGTTTTTTGTTACCGAATTCGAAAATAATGACTCTTCTTGTCATTTCGTTTGCCCCTTTTTCAGAAGTGAGCTGGCCACAAATGTCAGCTCAACAAAGTGGCTCGTCGTGTGGAATTTCTCGGCTCTGCTGTGGCGGTGTAAAAAAAAAAAAAATCTATATTTTTTTCACGTCATAACAAATAATAATAATAAATAAAAAAACTATTCCGCGCGGTCGGGGCGGCGCAGTCACCCAGCACGTAGATGTTGTCGCCGCTGCCCACGACGCTGAAGAAGTCACGGTCATAGAAGGGCGGGCTGGCGAGCGGGTGCCAGCGGCACGCATGGGGGTCGTAGCAGCTGACGGCCGTGAGCGCGCGGTGGTTCGTGCCCTCCGACTGGCGCCCGCCCACCAGCACGATCACCTCCGTCACACCTGCGCACGCATGCACACACGTGTGCGCCAAAGACAGACGATTCCCCATTATGGGCCTTAACAGACCGTCGGGGCAAGGGCGATTAGTGAGCAGCTATTAAGGCCAGCACGGTGCACGAAGGGGTGGTGTGTACATTTTTATCTTCATCAGCCGTGCTCAACCCGCTGCTGGACGAATACCTCCGCTAGCCATCGCCGCCACAGGCTCTCGCGATCCTGCGGTGCGGTAATCCAGCGAGCACCAAGGTGGTACTCATTTTACAGCCCCCGCAGACAGATGATGATGGGCTGAGTTGACCACCCCCAACCAGGGGGATGTGAACTCGCAACGTTCCGATTGCGAGCCGATCGCTCTACGGCGAGGAATTGGATGAGCTATAACGCTCTTTCACAGATGTCTAGTAAACTAAACTATTATTTATTTTGCCAGGTAAGGCCCACTGAGCTATAAAGCGATTTTTCATAAGCAACCTGGCAACAAATGATAGCTCAACAAAGTAGCTGATTACGTATACATTTTTAGCAGCCAAATTCTTTAAACTTGTGTTTCTAAATGTGGAGGAAAAAACTGTTAGACCCGGAGAAAAAAAAAACACGTGGAGAGAGACACGCAAACTCCAAATACACAGGTGTCAGGGTCAGGTTCGAACCCATGACCTCCTGTATACCAGGCAAGGTAGTTAACATCTCAGGGGCGGGTCAGAACAACAATAACAAAAATTGCAAAGTATAGGAATGTTAAACAAATAACTAAAAAATATACAAACAAAACGAAATATATTTGTTACATTACCAGGTAAAGCCCACTGAGACGTATTCATGTATTTCAGAAGAGACCTGACTGTCACGAACGATAGCGCTGGGAGTCGGTTCTTGCCGGGCTGCCGAGCGCGACGCAACCAAGGCGAGCAAACTTGCCGCGGTGGTGTCACGAGGACGCTTGGGAGCCGTCGCCGAGCGGAGCGCCGAGCGGAGCGCCGAGCGGAGCGCCGAGCGGAGCGCCGAGCGGAGCGCCGAGCGGAGCGCCGAGCGGAGCGCCGAGCGGAGCGCCGCTCGTTAAACCCAGCGGGGAGGGGGATCGCGCTCCGATCGCGACGCTGGTCATTACAACCAGCTTCATCAGGTGATACGCCAGAATTAGGTCACAAAAGCCCAAGTATTAAACCGATCTAGGATCCGGTCGGCCCGTGCGCTCCCGCCGCCCCCTGCACGGCACGGGGCACAGCTGCCCCCGCCCCCCCCCCCGCCCCCCTCCAACGATTCTCTGCCCGCCACCGCACGGCTCCCCGGTGCACCGGACCCCTCCTCACCGGCCAGGAGCCGGGGCCTCGTGCGCGGCGTCTGCATGGCCTGGCGCGCGTGCGGGAGCATGTGGTAGCGCTTGGCTTCGTTGACGAGGTCCCTGCACGCCTCCGAGCCCTTCACCATCTCGTCGTTGTCTACCACGTTGAGGAGGTACGTCGGCTGGATGAAGGGCAGCCTCACGGCCGCCAGGACCTCGGCCGCAAACTGCGGGGGGGGGGGGGGGCGGGGGGGGGGGCGCACAGGTGGTGTGGGGATCACAATTGTTACCATCGGGCCACGGTCAGTATCATCGGCAAGGCTCGTTCCGCTGCTGGATCGAGGCCTCCGCAAGCGGTGGCCACCGATTCCCACGAGGTCCGCACGACGGTCCGCCTCTTAGATCTGGAGGGACGAGGGTGAGTCCACGCGAGCCGCCGTGCTTTCCTGAGTGGCTCGGGGCCCGCGTGTCTGTCGTGGTGTTGCTTTGGGGGAGCCCGCAATGCGTGTAGCATCAGGCCCTCCAGCTGACAGCTGGGGGGGAGGCTTAATTGGTAATTACGCGGAGGAGGCGACGCTTCATTAATTCGCCGACGCTGGCGTCGTCGTTCCGAGGATGGTTACCCCTGGGATGCCACGCGTGCACCCTGCTCCAAGTTCTTCGTGCGCGGCAGCCAGAGCAGGTGTGTAACTAACCGCTCGCTGCGACGCGAGCTGGGGGGGGTGGTGGGGGTGGGACGTGGCCGTCGTTTCGCGCAGCCCCGAGATGTAAAATTAATTTCGCCGAAGCTGCTAGTCGTTCGCGTAACGCCATGGCGCCCTGAAATAAATTTCGGCCTCGCGCCCCGTGAACAATCGGTGCACGTTTGTTGTTCGTCACCTTTGTTGTTCGTCACGTGGCAACTTTATTGGCTCTGTTTAACACGTAGGCTTTCGCGACAAATATTATTCATAATAAAGGTTTTTTGGGTTAGATCGTGTTATTTATAAATGTGTCGTAACCCTCCACCATCCGAAACAGCCAATCATCAAAAAAGTGTCACGTTGACAAAAGACAATTAGTTCACTACTTTAGCCCACCGGTGTGTTGAAGAGTGAATCCACAACATTTACAGTTAGAGTACGACGTTTCGCTGGTAATTACATCCAGCATCATTGGGCAATTCGCCAGAATGGTAAAGCCCTCACTTGCTCCCGGTCTTAAATAGAGCAGCAGGGTGACGTCATCATTTAACTCATTTCAGGTGCAGTGATTTGAGGCGGAGGGGGGTATTGTAATTATATAATCGATTGGTAATCAGTCAATGGTTATGATTAGTAATGAGTTATAGATTAGTAATTCGTTGTAATGTGTGTTATTGTGATTATATGCTACGTTTATTGGCTCTGTCGGGTGGAGGAGGATTTGCGACACCCGTTGTACTTCTTACGGCAATCCGATCTCAAGATCAATTATGAATCAACAATCCAATTTTTCTACCGAATCCGTTCCGATGACGTACACGAAGGAGGTACACGTACTTCAATTAAATTACTTTATTGGTACAGAGGCTCCCACAAGGCCATGCGGGAGGGCGTGTGGTACAGTTTGGCGCCAGCTATCGTACAGTGCGGTGGCGTCGCTACAGTTCTCTGCAGTGAGTACAACGTCTTTAAAAACAGCGGCACTATGCCTCTCTAAATAAAATGAACACTAACCGCTTGCGCGTTCTGAGATTCGGTGAACGGGACACCCACCTTGAAAACTTGCAGACGTCTCGGAATGGGAAAGGGTTAAGAATAACGATGACAATCCCCACTGAGTAAGCATCACGTGGCCTAACCCAAAACAACTGACACTCGTGACTCAACCGCCTCCGTCACCGCGCCGCTCACCTGCATGCGCTCGCCGGGCTCCCTGCGGATCCAGCGCTGCGCCGCCTCGTAGACGCCCTCCTCGGCGCCGGCATTGAGGCTGTCGCCCGACAGGTAGGCCACCAGCTCGTCCTTGCCCAGGTGCAGGAACTCCTCCTGGGCGCTCACCGCCACAAAGTGGTGCAGAGCGAAGGTGCGCGCGCGGCCCGCCAGCTCGGGGCACCCCATGGCCTCCGCCATGGCCTGCAGGCCGAGGCAGTTGGCGGCCGACAGCTGCTTCTCTGCGGCGGCGAGAGAGAAGCGGCCGCTCGTGACAAAACAACAGCAACGTGGGTTTGCCACCCTTTGCTGTGTGTTTTTCATTACTCGGAAACCGTCGGAATTTTGAGAACACCTCAAAATAATTGTACGAGCGTCGTGAGTTGCGTTCGTTACGCATTGTGTAATTGCGCGTCGAAACTGGGGACCCGCAGCGTGTGAGGGTAGGGTCCTCTCGCATCCTGTAAGATCGGCAGTTTCACCGCTGGTGAATCGAGCGAGCCTGACTGCCGCAGCTGCTGATGAGATGCCGCCTGTCAGGAACCGGTCCAGAGCTTGCTTTGTCTGCTGTTAAAAGTATGCGTTCCTAGAAGGCCGTTTGGCCTATTATGTTTTTTGGAAGAAATACTTTTCAACGTGGATAGCAGTCTAAAACTGAAACTTTCTCAGAACATAAAAAGTCCCTGCTTTGTGTAAAACTATTAAAAATACCCTACTTGAGACTGCTTTCATGGATAATATTACCCTCTTCCGGCGTTGTGAGATAATCTTCATTCCATCGCATGTCCCTTTCCACAATATAATCGGCGAAAAAAAATGCCATGATGTTTTTGGTCTGCCGTTGGTGACCAGGACAAAAACCATGATTTCACTCCACTTGAGAAAGCCCGGCTTTAATCACGGGCAGCTAAAACCCTCCCAGATTCAAACCCGGGATCTGCGCTCTGACCCCGGTGCCACCTGGGCCGATCCAACTCATTCCTCCCTAAGCAAAGAACACCGAACAATCTCTGTGCGTGCGCGATCAATCCCAGCAGCTCCGCCGCCCCGCGTCACCGTCCGGAGGACGCCCCCCTCGTTCCCCCCCCCACAACCGCCCCCCCCCCCCCGTACCCAGGAAGGCGCTGCAGACCCTGCAGAAGGTGCCGAACTGCAGCTTGCTGGCGGCCTCCAGCAGGGCTCGTGCGTTGACGGCGTTGATGAGCAGCGAGCCGGTGTACACGAACTCCAGCAGCAGCTCCAGCGCCTCCGCCTCCAGCCCGGGCACCTCCAGCGTCAGGGGCTCCCCGGGCGCCGCGGCGCGCCCGGCGCCGTCCGCCGCCGCCGCCGCCGTCTCTCCGTCCGGCCCGCCGTCCGCCGCCGCCGCTGCCGCCGCCGCCGCCGTCTCCCCATCCGGCCCGCCGTCCGTGCCGTCGCCCGCCGCGTCCTCCGCAGCCGCAGCCGCTCCGCTCGCGTTCTCCCGCTCCTCCGTGGCACTGTCGCACAAACGGGGGAGGTGAGACGACGACGCCGCCGCCGCCGGGTCGGTTCGTCGGACGCTTTGGACGCGAGCCCCCGCGGTCAGCGCGCGGTGGAAGCGGTTGGCGGCCCGGCGCGCTGAGATGGAGCCGCGTCCTCTGCTCCGCCCGCTTCGCAAACTGACCAGCCGTGGCCGGGAGTCAAACTCTGAGGTTTAGTGCAGATGTGTGGCAACCGCTGCGCCACCAATCTCTACTAAGAAAAACACGGGGCTTGTTTGGGCTGGGGTGGGGGGGGGGGGAATGTCACTTTGACCCTTTGACCTTGAGCCCGGGTGGAGCAGCGGCTAGCGCACCGTGCTCCGAACGTCGCAGGCTGGGTTTGACTGCCGGCCACGGCTAACATCTGAAATGGTCCTGTACTCTTCCAGCTACACCAACCCCCGTGTTGACCAGTGTGTTGAAGTATGGTCAAACATGCCCCCCCCCCCCACGACTGACGCAGCAGTGGCGGGCCTTTATGCAGCATTGAAGTGACGAAGAGCTGTAAATGGTAGATAGCGCAAAAAAATATCAACTCTCAATGATGGTCTACACCTTAAATGCGTTCCCAGTAAACGTGGTACGTTGAGCCAACGTTCGACCCACGGTTCATAACCACAAGCCAAAGTTGGCCCGAGATAGCATGTTTACTGGGTTTACGGCCTGAGAGGGGGTCTATGTTGAACGGAGCAAGGGGGCATTACGTTGACCTGTGTAGCAGCGACGCGACGCGTGTTTACCGAGTACAGCATCCCAGTCCAATGTTCGCGCCTGCAAATGAAGGCAGTTTTTGTTCTGTTTAACGACGACGACAAAACTTGCGCAGGGCGGCTCGCAGTGCCCGGATGTGAAAACGACTGCAGTACGGGAAAAACGTGGTTACATTTGTGTGTTGAATAAGTGGAGGATTTTTTTGCTCAACTCCAAAAAACATAATAATAATAAAAATCATTACATTAAATACGCCGGCGTATTTCGCTCAAGCGAGCCCTCTCTTCCGGCGTCAACTCAACTATATTTGTAACCAAAATTGTGCTTTTTCAGCGCTGCCAAAGAAATTACAAAAAATCCATGGAATCTACGCACGAGTCACTCACAGAGTGGCTGGCTGTACGTGCGCACTCCGGGCACAAGTTGGACCTCGTAAGGCGCGCCCGCCCGCGTGTTTGCGCGCGGGCAACGGCGGCAAAGTATTTTTGGGCCACGTTTCACGTCTCCTCTCTCTCTCCCTCCCTCCTCCGTCTCTCCCTTTACTCTACGGGTCGACGATTTTGACGGATGGTGGGCCCCTTGACGGACAAAGCTAACGAAGCCGTCGTTTTGTGTCACCGCCCCCCCCCCCGGCCTGCGCCCGGAAGGCCGGTCCCTGTCCTCCCGAGACGCGGGGAGTTCTGTGGTGGAAGGCCGCTCTTGTAGCGTCCGCCGAGATTGGGGGGGGGTGGGCGGGGAGGCGTGCGCAGAGTGGACGCACGCCAAACCTACTCGACTGCCTGCCCGTGAGCTGCTCGTTATAAATGATCGATGCTGTGGTTGAAGGAGGGGGGGGGGGTAGGAGGTGGGGGTTCTCGTCCTCAGGACTATTCGCACGAGTGAGAATGACTGCCTTGGGTGATTGCTCCAGCGTGATGGGAGAAAAATCTAATTTTATATAAATATAAAATCTACCCTTTTATTTACCGGGGTAAAGCCCGTTGGGTATTTGGCTCTTTTTCAGAGGAGACCTGGCCACACTTGGCGATGGCTCATCGAAGTGGCTTATCACGTGGAATTTCATCATCATCATATTTCACACGTGGGAATTCATAGCAGCAGCCAAATCGTCTGAACGCGCGTTGATTCTAAATGTGGGGGGAGGAGAGGGGGGAGGAAAAAGCAGAGGAACCCGGAGAACAATCCGCGCGGCCGCCGCGGGGAGAGAGAGAGAGAGAACGCGCGGGCTCCAAATATACAACAGGCATCGTCAAGATCTGGGATCGAAGCTACGACCTTCTGTGTAGCAGGAGAGGGAGGTAACATTTCCTTGCCACCGTGAAGCTCCATAAATGATTAATACAATTTTAAATCCCAGTGCGCTACTGCTATTCCACAGAGACAAATAGGTTTTTGTGGGGCTGGGGGGGGCGGAGGGTGGGAAATTTTCCCTTTGGACCCTTTCGGCCTGTCGATCGATCCCAGGTCGTGAGGTCGTCAGTTTGTGCTTCAGGAAACACGGTGAGAGATGTCACGCACGGGCAGTTATTTTCGTTGTGAGAGCAGAGAAACGATCGCCGGTCGCGTTCATTCCTCCCTGCAAGTAAAAGTCAAGCATGCTTTCCAAATGAACCCTTTCCCGTTCAGAGACGTCTGCAAGTCGCAGGGTAGGGCGGTCCCGTTCGCAGCCGAAATTCGGAAGGCTCAAGTGGCTCACCGTTAATTTTATTTAGAGAGGAGTAGCGTGGCTGTTTTTAAAGACATTGCACTCACCGCAGAAGACCGTAGCGACACGACCGCACTCTACGATAGCCGGCGCCAAACTGTGCCACACGCCCTCTCGCATGGCCTTGTCGGAGCCTTGGTACCGATAAACTTGTTTTATTTCAGTTTCTCTTCCGGAAGCGGAAGAAAAAATGATGACGTAGGCATACGTCGTCGGACGGAACCGAGCGCCAGCGCCGATCGATCCCAGAGTGTTGCGTGCATGCACGGAGCGCGCAGGGATTCAACGTCACTTGGCGGCCGTTCCGGCGCGCAGAATCCCGTTACAAAAGAGGGCCGGGCACCGGAACCGAAGACGTCTTATCGGTGGTCGCCTCCCCAGCGAGAGGGGGTCGGTCCCGGCTGAAGAGTGGCTCGAGTGATTTTGTTCTGGGGGAGGGTGGAGCGATCACCCACCCCCCCCCCCCCCCAAGGCTACCGCACCTTGCGTTGGCACAGGTGCGCTGCCCGCACGTGCTTGAGAGAAGAGGCCCACCTCCCCACCCCCCCACCCCCCCAGGCGGCCTCCGCACCGTGCCCCCGTTTGCACCGACACCCCATGCCTCGCCATGTCCCTTAAATGAAGGCCCACACGCACTCCCGCTCGCTCTCTCTGCCGCAACTTTTACTGGAGGCCGAACCTCGCGGGGGGAGGGGGGGGGATGTTGCTCGATGGGTCGCACGGCCAGCTGCATCTACCGCTCATTTAAGCGAGGCGCGTTCCCTCAATGATAAAGGTGGGGGGGGGGGGGGGGGGGCAGCGGTGACCAGGGGTCTGTCACTCCCTCTCCAGCGCTATCGCTTGGCACGGCTAACATCAGTGGCGAGCGGTTATCCTTTAAAAAAAAAAAAACTATCCAAACAAATGTTTTTTTTTATTTTGCCATGTGTAAGGCTCCACTGAGCTATGTAGCTCTTTTTGACGATCGCTCAACGGAGTGGCTTACCGCGTGGAAATGTATAGCAGCCAAATACTCTAAATGCGTGACGTTAATTCTAAATGCGGGGAGGAAAAACCGGAGGATCCGGAGAAAAATCCACGAGACCATGGAGGAAAAAAATCAAAATCCAAATACACAGGCGTCAAGGTCGGAATCGAATCTACCACCTCCTGCATACCAGGCGAGGGAGTTAACATCTCACCACCGCGATCTGGGAAGAGACGCGGCACGTGCACGCAGCACCATGCCTGCCAGCGTTAACGACGAAGCGATATTCTGCCACCATGAGCATTATCGCTCGCGCCAGCACTTCTCTTCACTTGTGCACAGCCCCCCCCCCCCTGCCCCCCCCCCCCCTGCTTTGCCAACCTGCCCTGACCGGCGTGAAGTATGGTCAAGCAACCATCCAGCAGTGGATTGACAAAAGGGGCTGTAAATGATTGTCGTGATTGTGATTAACGGTGTAAATATTCCAGAGTATGGCCGAAGCTCCCACCCACCGAAGTCATCGCAGGCGGTGCGGAAACAGATATTTGTCGTGGGGACAGATGTTCGTTTTTCTAAAACCACGTTACGAGTGAACACCCTTGGTTCTGACGTGGTCGTCGCGACATTAACATAAATTGACATTCGGAACTTTTGCAAGTGAGCTGTGCCAGAAAATGGGCCCAAAGCCACTTCAGCTAGCGGGGGAACACCTCTGGGTGCGTCGCGGTGGCGAGATGTTGTCTCCCTCGCCCAGTACGCGGTGGGTCCTGGGTTCAATCCCGGAGCCTGACGATGCCTGTTGTACATTTGGTGTCTGCGTGTTTTCTCTTTCTCCCCGTGGTGGTCGTGTGGATTTTTTGTCCGCGTTCCCTCCGCTTTTTTGCCCTCCACGTTTAGAGACGAGCGTGTGTAGATGAGTTGGCTGCTGCAATCAATGCCCACGTGTGAAGCTTTCAACCACTTCGATGAGCTATCACCACGTGTGGCCAAGGTTGCCTCTGAAAAAGAGCTCGTAGCTCAGCGGGGCTTTACCTGGTTAAATAAAAAATAGAGCGTTAGCCACCTGTCAAACCAGGCTGACTTGCCTCTTTCTCTCTCAGAGCTGGCATGATTTAATGAAGTGGCAAAACAAAGATGTTCACGCGATGTGTTTTTTTTCGTCATGCTGCCATTGCCAACTGAGCCAAGACCATCGACTCGTCACGCCTGAGAACCCGGTTCAACCACGGGTGGCTGAAAGCCGGCTTCAAAAGCCCCAATCTCAGTCACTCTGGCTCGGTGTGTCCCAATCCTCAGTCATTTGCCACGGGGTTTTTGACGGAATCGTCCCGAGTGTGTGGAAGTTTAAGGACGTGGGTCTTTTGGAAAGGCAGTCGGCTGGCCCGGGATGTCGGAGCGCTGAGCAGCCGGCACCGCTGGGTGTGCTGGGTTCGAGTCCAGGTTTCAGCTGCCTGCGGTTAAACCCGGGGTTCCCAAGTGTAGGGCGTTGATGGTCTCAGCCTGGTCACCAATGGCTGCACCCCAAACCCCTCCTCCCCCCCCCCACCCCCGTCGCGTAAAATTTCGTTCCGCGATTAATTCGGATAAATTTCA